AAAGGTTTTCTATGTTACTGAATCAGAATCAGAAAGGTTTTCTATGTTACTGAATCAGAATCAGAAAGGGTTTCTATGTTACTGAATCAGAATCAGAAAGGTTTTCTATGTTACTGAATCAGAATCAGAAAGGTTTTCTATGTTACTGAATCAGAATCAGAAAGGTTTTCTATGTTACTGAATCAGAATCAGAAAGGTTTTCTATGTTACTGAATCAGAATCAGAAAGGTTTTCTATGTTACTGAATCAGAATCAGAAAGGTTTTCTATGTTACTGAATCAGAATCAGAAAGGGTTTCTATGTTACTGAATCAGAATCAGAAAGGGTTTCTATGTTACTGAATCAGAATCAGAAAGGTTTTCTATGTTACTGAATCAGAATCAGAAAGGTTTTCTATGTTACTGAATCAGAATCAGAAAGGGTTTCTATGTTACTGAATCAGAATCAGAAAGGTTTTCTATGTTACTGAATCAGAATCAGAAAGGTTTTCTATGTTACTGAATCAGAATCAGAAAGGTTTTCTATGTTACTGAAACAGAATCAGAAAGGGTTTCTATGTTACTGAATCAGAATCAGAAAGGGTTTCTATGTTACTGAATCAGAATCAGAAAGGTTTTCTATGTTACTGAATCAGAATCAGAAAGGGTTTCTATGTTACTGAATCAGAATCAGAAAGGGTTTCTATGTTACTGAATCAGAATCAGAAAGGGTTTCTATGTTACTGAATCAGAATCAGAAAGGGTTTCTATGTTACTGAATCAGAATCAGAAACGGTTTCTATGTTACTGAATCAGAATCAGAAAGGTTTTCTATGTTACTGAATCAGAATCAGAAAGGTTTTCTATGTTACTGAATCAGAATCAGAAAGGTTTTCTATGTTACTGAATCAGAATCAGAAAGGTTTTCTATGTTACTGAATCAGAATCAGAAAGGGTTTCTATGTTACTGAATCAGAATCAGAAAGGTTTTCTATGTTACTGAATCAGAATCAGAAAGGTTTTCTATGTTACTGAATCAGAATCAGAAAGGTTTTCTATGTTACTGAATCAGAATCAGAAAGGTTTTCTATGTTACTGAATCAGAATCAGAAAGGTTTTCTATGTTACTGAATCAGAATCAGAAAGGTTTTCTATGTTACTGAATCAGAATCAGAAAGGTTTTCTATGTTACTGAATCAGAATCAGAAAGGTTTTCTATGTTACTGAATCAGAATCAGAAAGGTTTTCTATGTTACTGAATCAGAATCAGAAAGGTTTTCTATGTTACTGAATCAGAATCAGAAAGGTTTTCTATGTTACTGAATCAGAATCAGAAAGGTTTTCTATGTTACTGAATCAGAATCAGAAAGGGTTTCTATGTTACTGAATCAGAATCAGAAAGGGTTTCTATGTTACTGAATCAGAATCAGAAAGGGTTTCTATGTTACTGAATCAGAATCAGAAAGGGTTTCTATGTTACTGAATCAGAATCAGAAAGGTTTTCTATGTTACTGAATCAGAATCAGAAAGGTTTTCTATGTTACTGAATCAGAATCAGAAAGGGTTTCTATGTTACTGAATCAGAATCAGAAAGGGTTTCTATGTTACTGAATCAGAATCAGAAAGGATTTCTATGTTACTGAATCAGAATCAGAAAGGGTTTCTATGTTACTGAATCAGAATCAGAAAGGGTTTCTATGTTACTGAATCAGAATCAGAAAGGGTTTCTATGTTACTGAATCAGAATCAGAAAGGGTTTCTATGTTACTGAATCAGAATCAGAAAGGGTTTCTATGTTACTGAATCAGAATCAGAAAGGTTTTCTATGTTACTGAATCAGAATCAGAAAGGGTTTCTATGTTACTGAATCAGAATCAGAAAGGGTTTCTATGTTACTGAATCAGAAAGGTTTTCTATGTTACTGAATCAGAATCAGAAAGGTTTTCTATGTTACTGAATCAGAATCAGAAAGGTTTTCTATGTTACTGAATCAGAATCAGAAAGGTTTTCTATGTTACTGAATCAGAATCAGAAAGGGTTTCTATGTTACTGAATCAGAATCAGAAAGGTTTTCTATGTTACTGAATCAGAATCAGAAAG